GGAGGAGGATGAGGAGCGAGTTATCCAGGTCGTTGACAGCACAGTCAGCCCGCACAGCAAGAATGGGCAACCTCCCAGGGGTATTTGTGCAGCCTTGCCCCGTTCGGCCCATCCTCAGCGACTTTCGCTGACCAGCCTCGGTCGAACAACGTTCACATGGGCCTCCAAGGCCCTTACATCCTTCCCGCGCATCCTTATGATACGGGTTGACTGTTGGCATGTTTGGATTTCGGGATCCTGATATGCTGCTACTGTCTCCCTAATTCAAGAATCGAGGTGCTCTTGCTTCGTTGTGTCATTCTCTGGAAGGGCCTGAGCCCAACCTGCTTCATCCGCCGCCCTACTGCATGTGTTTTCACCTGCGTCTTCCGACCGACAGGGATGTGAGCTGAGCTTGCCACCAGCGGGGATTCCCGGGGTGTGCGGGCGTCTTGTCTGCGGGCGCGTGCAGTGCAGTAGGGACTCGGCAACCTGGGTGCACCCGAAGTCGTGGTGCGATCGCCTCCCTGTTACAACAGCGGCTGATGTAGCAAGACAGCCGTCCAAACAACGTTTGGTAAAGTTTGTTCAGGCCTGAGCCTGGGGGGACAAGAAAACCTACGTCTTCCGACCGACGTGCAGCTGTTCTTTAATATTTGGGGGCCTCAGGAAGCCTCCACGCGGCCAGCGGAGGCGCCTCTCTAGCGGCCGCCGACGCCTCACAGAGCGGCGGAGGCGATAGACGGGCAGGGTCCATTTCGACCCGATCGGTCCGATTTGATATCGACACAGAAGGAGATCCCTGGGAAGAAGGAGGAGGAGGAAGAGGAGGAAGAGGAGGAGGAGGCGGAGGAGGACGGGGAAGAGGAGGAGGAGGACAGGAGTAAACCCAAGAAACATCAGCGATGCTGCTGCACCAGGCCAGATCTCCGATTCGCTGTCGACGGTCCGACGATCTGGGGTGGCCCGCGGCTCGTCTGGCGCTGCTGTGCATCGTGGCGTGGCCGTGCCGGCGCGGCTTAGTCCGACGCGCAGTCCGATTCGATGCTTACAGATCTTGACCTGGGGGGTAGGAGGAGGAGGAGGGGGAAGAGGAGGAGGAGGAGGAGGAGGAAGAGGGACGAGGAGAGAGGGAGGAGGAGAGGAGGAGGAGGAGGAGGAGAGGAGGAAGAGGAGGATTCGACCTGGGGAGTAGGAGGAGGAGAGGAGGAGGAGGGAGGAGGAGGAGGAGGAAGAAGAGGGACGAGGAGGAGGAGGAGGAGGAGGATCGATTGTCGAGTTGTTGTTGAGTGTTATTCCGTGTGCGCGGGCCCTCCGGTTCCCCCAGGGGCCTTTGGAACTTCTGGAGATATGCAGGATCCGGCGCAGAGACATCAGGATACCTCTGGGGAGGGGGGAGGAGGAGGAGGAGGAGGAGGAGGAGGAGGAGGAGGAGGATGAGGAGGAGGAGGAGGAGGAGGAGGAGGAGGAGGAGGACCCGAGTAAACCCAAGAAGCATCAACGATGCTATTATACACCCTGCCGCCCAAAGCGCCCTCCTCATAAGTCCAGTTGAAAAGGAGCTGCCCTGCATGCTTGTAGCACGTGACAAGGCGTGCGAGAAGGCATGGTCATGTACTTCCACAGGGTGGCAAGCGAATGGCTGCTCTGGGTTGCACTTCGGCCCATGAGATCCGAGAACGTCTCCAGCCAAAGCTCCCATTCCGAAGTGTAGCCGCCCTCCATGTGGGCAACCATACAGTCAACCCGCATAGTGAGGATGGGCAACCTTCCCAAGGGCACCCTTGCATCCTTGCCTCCTTGGTCTAGCGTTGGCGGCGTTCGTTGGCCGCGAGCCGCTCGCAAAGCTTCGAAATGGCCTTCCACGGCCCGCTCATCCTTACCGCGCATCCTCCTTAGACGAGTTGACTGTATATGTTCAACTCTGTCCTGGGGCTCCGCCGCTTCCTCCCTCCTCTTCTCTGCCTAATTCAAGTTTTGCGCGGCCCGCTTAGCTTCGACCGGAAGAGGTGCGCCTTCGACCCGCGGATCACAAAAATTGTATATGTTCAGCTCTCAGGTCCTTTCTGCCCGCGGAAGTCCGGAGCGACAGCTCTCTTCCGAGAGGGGGCCGCCCCACGACGCTCGTAGCCGCTGTGAGCTTTGAACACGGCTGTGAGCGGCTCTGCGGCGAGGGCCCCAGCCTGAAGAAGGAGCCGTCCTCCGTCGGCGCCACGGTGAACAGCTTCTCGCAGTCAACAGCAGGGCTGGGCAACCTTCCCAAGGCCTCCCTTGCATCCTTCCCCTTCGGCCCATCCCTGGCCGCTCCCGCTGGCCGCACCTCGCTCGCGGAGCTTCGAGATGGCCGTCCAAGGCCCCTGCATCCTCACCGCGCAGCCTTGCTATACGGGCTGACCGTAAGACGACTGCGCGTGCGGCGCCAGGTCGAGGGCCACAGTCTGAGAAGGGGCCACGCTCCGCATGAGTCACTGCTGCAAGCTTCTGGAAGACACCCTTCGTGTGGCGCGAAGGCGTATTTGACATCGGTTGCCCCGTTTCGTTCGCCCCACGCTGGTGCGGACTGCATCTGCCTCGCCGCCGACGAATCAAGTGGCGCGAAGGTGAGGGCCCCATTTCGGAAAGGAGCCACCCTTCCATCCGTGTAAGTAAAGTGTTCCCGAAGCAGTGCTTGCACTGGGGTTCTGAGTGATCGTTTTCTTATTCATCGTTTTGTCGATCGGCGCGGGCCCTCGCACCCCCTCCCCCCCCCATGGAGTAGATCTTGGCTGTTCTTGGCGCCTGTTTCGAGCAGGTAGGGCCTCCCCCATGGGACGCACTGCTGCACGCAGTCGCATGAAGCAGACGTCTGGAGCCAGACCCCCCCCCTCCCCCCCCCCCTCTCCCGCCCAATGTCGAAACGCCGAATAAGACAACCTCACTGACTCGTCTTTTTACTGAACGCGTTGGGCTCGGCGAAGTATCGCCGCGTTGCCGCCCGTTGGCGCCTCGCTGCCGCCTCGTGCGCTGGGCGGGTCCGTCGAGGCCTCGCCACCTTGCCGCCCGCTGTCGCCGGCTTGCCGCCTCGTGTCCCGAAAAGGATGGGCCCTTCCATCCGTGCAGCTGATCTGCTGCAAGCTTTGAGACGAACGTGCGCGGCGCCAGGTCGAGAGCTACGTTTTGAAAATGGCCCCCCTCCTCGTGTCCTGAAAAGGATGGGCCCTTCCATCCGTGTCACTGATCTGCTGCAAGCTTTGAGACGAACGTGCGCGGCGCCAGGTCGAGAGCCACGTTTTGACAATGGCCCCCCTCCTCGTGTCCCGAAAAGAATGGGCCCTTCCATCCGTGTCACTGATCTGCTGCAAGCTTTGAGACGAATGTGCGCGGCGCCAGGTCGAGAGCTACATTCTGAAAATGGCCCCCCTCCATCCGTGAAGCTGCTGCAAGCCATTCGCACGGACGTGCGCGGCGCTGAGGCGAGGGCCACCTTTTGAAAACGCCCGGCCCGCCGACAGGGAGGAGCTATCTGTGAAGAGTCTGGGCGGAGGAGACGGAGGGAGAGGAGGAGTCTTAATCTTTCCTCGTCGTGGCAAAAATCACGGCTAGAGTTTTCGATGAGTCTTTTTTCTCCAGGGGCCCTCACCGGGTCCCTGGTCCGTTGCACCACGGCTCGATGCAAAGCAAGCCTCAGGGAAGTGATCTAGATCTCTGGGGGTCTTCAAAGAATCATGAAGTCGGAGATCGGGAAGGAGACCCAGGATGTCCGTAGCTAGAGTACCTCGAGGCATCCCCCGGGAGTCGGCCTCTGATCACGGTTCATGCCGCGTCCTTGGCAAGGGTTGCGGGCGCACTCGTCCTAGCCGTACTGGCACGAGCTGCCAGCACACTCGCTCCGGCCCATCTGGCACGAGCTGCGAGTACATTCGCTCTGGCCTTCTTGGAGAGATCTGCAAGCGGCAGTGAAGCGTGCCAAAGCGTGCTTCATGAATTGGCGACCGCCTTGAATTAGCCGCTGTCCGCGCCCCCACGAGGTGACGAGGTGCCGGTCTGCAAGTGACACTGACGGCGTGCTAAAGCGGGCTTCATTCTCTTGCACAGGGTGTCTAGAGCTCCGACCACGTTATTCCGCGTCGCGCAGCCCCCTCCCCCCCGCGCCCCCAGCGCCAGAGTGGGACCCCCCCGCGCCGTGGCTCTCTGCCCCGACCCCCCCGCGTCCCCAGCGCCCCGGCGGGAGCCCCGCCCACTGCCCCCTCCGCCACGAACGCTGTATTCCGCGTCGCGACGCACACCACCTCCCCCACCTCCCCGCGTCCCCAGCGCCCCAGTGGGGGCTCCGCCCCGTGCCCCCTGCGCCCCGACAATTTCATTCCGCGTCGCGACGCACGCCACCTCCCCTCCCTCCCCCCCGCGCCCCCAGCGCCCCAGTTGGACCCCCGCCCCGTGGCCCTCTGCCCAAACCCCGCCCAGTGTCCCCTCCGCCCCGACCATTTCATTCCGCGTCGCGACGCACACCACCTCCCCCCCCTCCTCTCCGCGCCCCCAGCGCCCCAGTGGGACCTCCGTCCCATGCCCCCTCCGCTCCGAGCATTTTATTCCGCGTCGCCACGCACGCCACCTCCCCCCCCCCACAGGGGATTTGGGCCCCGTTGCTGGGCCCCGAGGGGCGATGTCCTGTCCCCTGCTCCCCCCTCCCCCTCCACCTCCTCCTCCTCCTCCTCATCCTCCTCCTCCTCCTCCTCCTCCTCCTCCTCCTCCTCCTCCTCCATCCTTTTTGTGCAAGAGCCATGGCACACGTGCCACTTGTTATTTCGCGACTTTTGACTGCCTTGAATGGGCCGCTGTCGGCGCCCCCACGAGGTGCCCTGAATTAATCCCTGTCGGCGCCCCAACGAGGTGCGTTTCAGGTGCAACTTCCGCTCGTCAAGCTCAGGTGCTGCAGGCATTCGTAGCTGCTTCTTGTAGGGCAGCTGGGCCCATGCCTCGGCCTACATTCAGTCCGATTGCGCGGATCGAGCGGCGGCTTCGATAGAGACGAACATGTTGGGGAAGCGACTTGGGGGAGGACGCAGATGGATCATACGTTGGGCGACCAGGCGGAAGAGAAGGATGAGGAGTAACAATATTGAGGATTCGCATATGTAGAAGCAAGAGGATGAGGAGGAGGAGGAGGAGGAGGGGGAGGATGATGAGGAGGAGTTAAGCAAGTGGAGCAGCACCATGATGATGAGGAGGATGATGATGCTGCTGATGATGATGATTATGATGATGCTTATGCTGATGCTGACGATGATGCTGCTGCTGATGATGATGATGCTGATGATGATGGTGATGATGATGATGATGATGATGATGATGATGATGATGATGATGATGATGATGAGCAGGGCGAGTCATGATGGGGAGACGTGGATGGAACATAACCAAGCCTAACGAAATTGGGAGGGCGAGGGGCGGGAGGAAGAAAGGTTGGTGTTGGAGGAGGAGGGCTAGCATTGATGGATGAGCCAGTGATGGGGGAGGGTGACGAGAAATATGAGGATCGTGGGAAGAGGAAGGAGGAAGAGCAGGAGGGATGAGGACGATAAGGAGTATGAGGAGGAGAGTTCGAATATGATGCATGACGTATGAGGTGGGAGGAAGCATCAAGGCGGACGCATGAGGTAGGAGGGTTGACAATGATGAGGCGCAGGTAGAGGAAGGGATAGGAAGAGGCGGAGGAACACGATTGGAATGAGGGGAAGAAGAACTAGGTGAGTAAAGAGAAGGACAAGCAGAAGGATGAGGAGTCGGTATAGGGAGGAGTTGAAGGATGAACGGAGGAGGATGCGGAGGATCTTGAAGACAGCTTTGCAGCTCATAGCATTGAATGTTGGGTGAGGAGGCGGGTGTGAGAGAAGACAGTGATAATAATGGTCATGGTGGTGACGATGATGATGATGATGATGATGATGATGATGATGATGATGATGATGATGATGATGGTGCAGCTGCTGACGATGATGAGGGTGATGACGATGACGATGACGACGACGGTGATGGTGATGATGCTGATGTTGATGACGATGCTGATAACGATGCTGGTGGGCATGGTGATGATGATGTTGATCATGATGATGCTGCTGTTGATCATGCTGATGCAGCTGCAGCTGCAGCTGCACCAGCTCTCCAGTTGCTGCTGCAGCGCTGCAGCTGCAGCTGACGAGGTTGGTGACAAGGATCGTGATAGTGATGACGATGATGCTGACGATGATGCTGACGAGGATGGTGATGATGCTGCTGATGATGCTGATGATGATCAGGAGGAGGATGATGAGGAGGAGGTTGATGATGAGGGTGATACTGATGACGATGACGCTGACGGTGATGGTGATGATGAAGACGATGATGATGAGCAGGAGCAGCAGTAGGCGGATCAAGAGAAGCAGGAGGAGGACGAAAGGGCGGAGGATGAGAAAGAGGAGGAGGAGGATGTGGAAGAGGCGGACATTGAGGAGAGTGGTGCGCAGGAGGCTGATGAGAACGGTCAACAAGAATTGTCAGCAGTGAGAGCCAGGGATGAGGAGGAGCAGGAGGAGCAGGATGGTGATGATGATGATGATGATGATGACGATGCTGATGCTGATGCTGATGCTGATGATGATGATGGTGGTGGTGGTTGTGATGATGAGGGCGATGGTGATGATGATGCTGATGATGATGTTGATGCTGATGATGTTGATGATGATGTTGAAGAAGAGGAGTATGAGGAGGACGAGCAGGAGGAGGAAGAGGCGAACATGGAGGATTATTAGGTCGAGCAGGGGAAGAAGGACGAGGAGGAGCACGGGCAGAATTCGATGGAGGAGGGGGACTAATAATAAAATAACAACACGAACGACAGCAACAACAACAACGACAGCAACAACAACAACAACAGCAACAACAACAGCAACACCAACACCAACACCAGCACCAACACCACCAACAGCAACAACAACACGAATGCCAACAACAACAACAGCAACAGCAACAGCAGCAGCAACAACAACAACAACGACGACGACGATCACGACGTTGACGACGGCGGCGGCGACGTTGACGATGCCGGCGGCGGCGATGGCGATCACGACCGGGACGGCGACGACGGACCACGCCCCTGGTCTCCCGCAGGAGCGCGGGATCCTCGCGGCTGCCGTGAGAGCCTGGGCCCGCGCCCCGCCCGCGGGCTCCTCCTCGCCACCGTTGCCGCCGGCGTGGCGATCCACGTCCTCCTCGCCCTGGCCGCCCTTCGCGTCTCTCGCGGGCGGAAAGCAGATGTATGTATGTATGTCTGTCTGTCTGTCTGTCTGTCTGTCTGTCTGTCTGTCTGTCTGTCTGTCTGTCTGTATGTATGTATGTATGTATGTATGTATGTATGTATGTATATATGTGTGTATGGATGTATGTCTGTATGTATGTATGTAGGTATGTAGGGATGTATGTGTGTATGTATGTATGGATGGATGGATGGATGGATGGACGGATGGATGGATGTATGTGTATATATAGATATGTATATGTGTACATAGATACGGGAGAGGGAAACAATTACTGACCACTCCCCCTCCCCCCCAAACTCAATGTTGGCACACGTGGGGGAGACTGCGGTCGAAGTGCACGTCATCAGACCCACCGCCAACTTTGAACATGGGGGGGAGAGGGAGGCGTTGACGGACGAATGTGGCATGAGTGCTCGCTACATTGGGGGGAGAGGGAGGCGTTGACAGATGAATGTGGCATGAGTGTTCGCTGATTTGTTCCGAGGCCTGTATGTCTACGTGTCCACGGCCTCGCGGGCCGCCCGGGCCGCGCCCCCAGCTGCAATTCCATCTCTGCGCTGGTGTTTGTCTCCCTGGCCTCGTTCCTCCTCCACGTGCAGGAGGCCCCGCTGAGGGCCACCACTCTGTCGTGCGTGGCCCGGCCCAGCGTCCGCCCAGGTGGCCCTGCACGGCGTGCGCCGGTTTCGCCGGCCCTCCTTTCCCAAACGCTCCGTTCGCCGGGCTCCTTTCGTCGGGCGCTGGTCTCGCCAGGGCTCCTGGGCTTCTTTCGCCAGGCGCTGGTTTCGCCGGGGCGCCTTTCGCTGGGGGGTGGTTTCGGCGGGCCTGGTGTCGCCAACGCCGTCGTCGCGGCAGTCGGCATCGCCGTCGCCGTCGACCGAGGTAGCACGCGTAAACAATACGGGGCGGGTCGGGTCGGGCGGGCGAACGCTAACAGGCAGGTCTGGTCGGGCGTAAACCCAACTGAACGGGTCGAATCGGGCGGGCGGACGTCAACGGGCGGGTCGGGCGGGACATGAAAGCATGGTGCAGCATTGAGTGGGCGCGCGGAAACTCTAACAGGCGGGTTGGGTCGGGCGGGCGGTCAATAACGAGCGGGTCGGGTCGGTCGGGCGGGACATGAAAGCGTGGTGCATAATCGAGTGGGCGCGCGTAGATCCTGACGGGCAGGTCGAGTCGGGCGGGCGGGCCGAGGCAGCGGGTCCGGTCGGGCGGGCGGGACATGAAAGTGTTGTGCATAAGCGAGTGAGCACGCGCAGACCCTGACGGGCGGGTCGGGTCTGGCGGGCGGGCCTAAGGGCCTAGTCGGGCAGGGCGACGACGACGTGATAGTGTGGTGCACAGTCGTGTGAGCACGTGGAAATCCTGACGGGCGGGTCGGGTCGGGCGGGCGGGCCTAGGGAGCCGGTCGGGCCGGGCGGGCTGGACATGGAAGTGTGATGCGTACTCGAGTGAGCACTCGGAAGCCCTAACGGGCGGGTCGGGTCGGGCGGGCAAGCCCCCACGGATTGGTCTGGCGGGCGGGCGGCGACGGCGATGGCGAAGGCGGTGACGACGACGGCGACGATGTGGCGGGTCGGGTCGGGTATGGCGGGCGGCGACGGTCCAGGCGACGGCGACGGCGACTGGGATGACGACGGCGACGACGACGACGGCGACAACGGTCGGCGGCGGCACAATTTGCCGGCGGCGGCTCCTTTCGCCAGCGGCAGCTCTTCTCGCCGACGCCAGCTCCTCTCGCCGGGCGGCGAAAGGAACAGGGCGACGGGAGCGTCAGCGAAACCAGCCGTCGGCGCACGGAGCCGAGCGAACGGAGCCAGGCGAAAGGGCTGGCGGCGAATGGAGCGGTCGCCCCTCATACGGCCCGCGAGGGCTGACGGTTCGCTCGCTTCGCCTGACCCCGGTCCATGCCTGTAGGCCTCCCAGGTCGGGTCCGAGCATTTGGGTTCGATGGATCGCACTGCATCGCCGAAGCATCGGCGATGCGGCTCGATGTGGAGCCCGATGTTCTCCACGCCGGCGGCGCCAATGCTCGACCAAAACACGAACGACACCACCCCAGCTACGGCCGTTCATGTTGCGCTACGGCCCATCGGGCGCCGTAGCGTACACCCCGCAAAATCCACTCCAGATCTCCTGGTACACGCTAAGCCCCGTGGGGCCGGAGGTGGGGTGGTGTCGTTTGTTTTCTGGTCTAAATGCATTGTCGACGTCGCGGGTGCATCGTGGATGCATCGCCGATGCGTTGGCGATGCGGTACGATCCTCCGACCCCATCTACTTGGACCCCATCGAAGAGGCCTCCAATGCCGGAAGCTCAGTGTGCAGCATGTCGTTCGGGTGCGCTGAGCTTCCGATTCGGCATGGCGCACTTCAGTTTCTTGGGCGCTGCATTCGCACAGTCTTCCATGCGCAAGCCGAGTGGCATGCCACTCTTACCGATCTTTATTCAGGGCATTTGTCTTTCGGCATGGCTATGGTGAGATGGGCAACAGAGCGCAGCCGCACGTGCGCCGACGGTGGCGCCGTGGTGCAGAGCGCGGCGCACTGCCGCGCGGCCTGGCGCGGTGTCATCGCTGGCGCCCACTGGGTGAAACAATTAGCGCAACGCCAGGCGTGCCATCGTCCCTTTGCTGCCCCCCGAAGGGAGGGTGGCCGTCGCATCCCTTTTCCCGCTCTGGTCGCGTCGGTCAACTTAGCTCCACCCTGCACCCGAACTCCTCCCTCTCTCTCTCTCTCGCTCGGATTGCC